CTAGCGTGAAGGCCGCCACTGAGCAGTTCTAGCCGGGTAAGTGAAGCGCCATGGCAGGAAACCAGGCTGAACCCTTTGGCCCACTGCACAACTTAAATACAAGTAAAACGTTTTGTCGCGATCAGGTAAGCAATTGTTGCTCGGATAACATGGGTTTGTTTGGGTTTTTTTACACAATCCAGACAAAACCTTTGGTGTCTAATCGTGTATAGCATCAAGTACTTGTCTCACCTATACTTAAAACCTTTTGATACAATTATTCCAAGGACCTTGCAAACCATATTATCGCTCAGATTACATTCGGTACATTTAACCAGGGAGAATAGAAGACGTAGATTATCCCTGATTTAACCCAGCTGGTCAGGTGTATCCACCCAACAGGCGCAGCGGCACTGCTGCAGTTTTGGGTTCGTGAATCATCACTGTCAGGCCTGTCTCCTCGGGGTTGTTTAAGTAGCCGATTGGTTTTCCTGGAGACTTTTCCTGATGGAGATACTCGGCTGTGTTGACATCTCTCCAACATGGATTCTGTGGATATCGGTTTTGTTTCTGATTTCTGAGTAAATAAAATTGTTGGATCACTTATATACTAATGAGATTTACTGACAATTGTTTCCACAGGGGCATGTAACGCTAAAAACTGCCATCAAGGGATATACTGTCACTGACGGGGTCTTTAGTGAAAGTAAATACATTGATGGCAGTTTTTAGCGTTACAAGCCCTTGGTCAATTTCTAGGCGCACAGCCTCTACAGTAGTCTGTCGTACAGACCCTGAAGCAAATATATCCAAGAAAGCCCACACAAGTCTAGAAAATGTGGCAAGTCTAGATTTCCTCAGCTTCAGGGCTCCATTTCATTATTATTATTTTTTTTACTATGAACTTTTTTCAGTAAAATATGTTCATTTCAAAACACTATCAAAAGGTAATGGCCGTGTGCATGATAACAAATTGTAAAGAGGTCGTGTCACAAGCACAGACGGCTAGTCCTTGACGCCATACTGTAAAACCTGGGGTGGGGTCTGGGGCTGGAATCATGGGCTGGGGTAGTCTCTGGTTTTGAAAAGGAATTAGGAAATGGTAACTTTACAGTTCATGATTTGGATGAAACACCCCAGTTTGAAGTCGTGTTGCATCTTATACATATTGGTATAGCTATACGTACATTGTGTGCATGTACGCAACATGTATTTAACATGCGTAGAGTGAGTTGGGTTTTACGCCGCTTTTAGCATTCCAGCAGTATCACGGCGGGGGACACCACAAATGGGTTTCAGACATTGTGCTCATATGGGGTCTTCAGCGTGACGAGCGAACGCATTAACCACTAGGCTACCCCACCGCCCCTCATTTAATACAGAGACCATATACAGGTATATGGTCTCTGTTTAATAGAAAGGGATATGTGTTCATCTAGGCTTGTGCACAATACCTACGCATGCTCTATTCATGTATTTGTAATAAGCCTGGGGCCTGTCACAACAAATAGAAGGACTGATAATATGATACAGGCTATTTTTGCCCAAGAGATCTGCAAAATGATACTCACTGAAACATACATAGAAGATGGGAACTTTGTCATCCCTTAACGTGACCCACACCATGTTACTGATGGGACGTCTTAATACATGGGGAGTATTGCTGACTGCGGCGACACACACCATTCACTCACTCGACAAGGGGCGGTCGGGTGCGTAGCTTAGTGGGTTAAGCATTTGGTCGTCACGCCGAAGACCCGGGTTCAGTTTTCCAATGGGTATAATGCGTGAAGCCCACATCTTATGTCACCCGCCGTGATATTACTGGAATGTTGATAAAAGCGGCGTAAAACCATTCTCACTCTCTCACCTACTCACCTGACACTGTGGGGTATCATGGATATTCACGTCGAGATCAATTTTCAAAGCTCTTATATTAGCAACGTGCGTGCGTGCGTGCGTGCGCGCGCGTGACCCGTGTGTTTGTGTGTGTGCGCCATCGGAGGCATGTGTCAGTAGCTACGTGTGCTACTCCGGTTAAGTTTGAGTTGGTTACGAGCAACCCATATGCTTGTCATGAGAGGCGACTAACGGGATCTAGACGTCAGGCTGGCTGACTTGGTAGATGAAACAACATAAGAAAGAAATCAACACCCTCAGTTAAATCGTGGTCCCAACTGGTTTCCCTTTAAACGCACATAAAAATAAACAGGCACCAGTTATGTTTCACAAAGAAATATCAAACAGTTTAAACTTTACAAACCTGAAACGAAATCTGACAGACCCATTTCCTATTCCCCGCATAACAGTTACTGTGGATGGACCTTTAATGCATCTAAAACGTTTTGAGACACTCCCCTTTTCGCTATCTTGCGAGCGAATCTCCCAGGGAAGACCAAACGTGACCAACCAAACTCTGTCTTGAGCGCGGAACCCGAATTTTATCTGACATGACATTGGATGCACGTCACTGAGTGGATCCCAATAACGTCAGTTTATTTTTCGTCAATCACCAAGAGCAGACTGATCTCGGTGTTGTTTTGGAAGCCCATTGTTTTCCTGGAGACACTTCCTGATGGAGATACTCGGCTGTGTTGACATCTCTCCCACATGGATTCTGTGGATATCGGTTTTGTTTCTGATTTATGTGTAAGTAAAATTATTGGATAACTGATCCACCAATAAGATTTGTTGACTATTGTCAGGGTAACACACCGTCGTAAATAACCAAGACAGAAAATAGAGGGACGACCTTCACTGCCGCATTAAATGTCAGAAGGTGAAGGCCGTTTTGCTGCATTCAGATTTTAGAAAGGGGGCATTTAATAAGCACCTACTTAAGTTTGCTTCAAACTGTTGACGTCACTTTTAGATTTGTTTGATTGTTGTTTAACGCCGCACTTAGAATTATTCCAGCTATATGACGGTGGTTTGTAAATAATTGTGCCTGGACCAGACAATCTAGTGAACAATATCATGCATGTCGATCTACACAATGGGATACGATGTCATGTGTCAACCAAGTAGGGGCGGTGGGGTAGCCGAGTGGTTAAAGCGTTGGCTCGTCACGCCGAAGACCCGGGTTCGAATCCCCACATTGGTACAATGTGTGAAGCCCATTTCTGGTGCTTCCCGTCGTGATGTTGCTGGAATATTGCTAAAAGCGGCGTAAAACCAAACTCAGTCAGTCAGTCAGTCAACCAAGTAAGCGAGCCTGACCACCCAATCCCGTTTTTCGCTTCTTACGAAAATCATGAGGTTGATGCCACTTCTAATCCGGATCTCTATTATGTTCAGATATGGAAAGAAGAGGAACCGTTTGTTCAAGGATGCTGGTATTCCTGGTCCGGAGCCTGTGATTTATATTGGGAACTTCCATCAAATAATTCAGCACGTGAGCTCAAGTTTAATCTCAAACATACCTTCTTAGAAAAGAACAATAAGGTTCATCGTTCACTTTGACTTAAAACCCCAGATTGCATCAAAAGTAAAACTCTCTTGGATATATAAGTATGATATTCCTATTCTGAATATGTTAGAGAACATGAATAAATTTGTATGCTGAGTCATCAATACAAATATTATCCCCCCAAAACATCCGTGACACCAAACTACTTTTGTTCGGGATGTAATATATGATACATGTCTCGACAAAATACAATACAGGCCATTTTGACATTTTCACCTGCATGTTGATGATTGTCAATGTTTTCATTTGAAAGATACATATCAAAGATGGCATCTTGTTACAGGGTCGGGGACGGTGGGGTAGCCTAGTGGTTAAAGCGTTCGCTCGTCACGCTGAAGACCCGGTTTCGATTCCCCACATGGGTACAATGTGTGAAGCCTATTTCTGGAGTCCTCGCCGAGATATTGCTGGAATAATGTTAAAAGCGGCTTAAAAGCATACTCACTCACTGTTACAGGGTCTGGACTTTGACCACAAGCACTTCAAACAGTATGGTAAAGTATACGGGTATGTAGATCCGTCGGGCTTATCTCCCCTTGGTTTAAATCATACATAAACGGGAGTATGACAGAGACTTTGAGAATGTCATATGATCGAAGTCACCCTCATGTGTGCATGCATAATTGTTATTCTTAATTTGTATGTTTGGTTCTCTATCTTAACACTCGGCAATACTCCAACCATATAACGGCGGCCTGGATTTAATCCAGTCGGGGTGGGTGGTGTGGTAGGTGGTGTGGTAGGTGGTCGTAGCCTAGTGGTTAAAGCGTTCGCTCGTCACTCTGAAGATCCGGGTTCGATTCCCCACATGGGTACAATGTGTGAAGCCTATTTCTGGTGTCCCCTGCTGGAATATTACTAAAAACGACGTATTACCACACTCACTGTCATTGTAATCCAGTCTGGACCACACAATCCGGTGATCGATATTGTGAGGAAGTTTCCAATTCCTCGATGTATTCATCAAATCTATATTACGTATGAAACCACAGACCCATATACATATGCATATTCCAAACAGGTAAGAAGGCGTCACCGTAAAACGGAAGCAGTTTCTCAAAATGCATGCATTACCTGTCAACCAGCATAGATTATCTTACAACACCAGTAAAATATATTAGTAGCATATAAACGTATAGGTGGACTGAAATGTTTAGATTTTTAATACCTATTTTCTATATATTTTTGTACTAATTTAATCAACTAATCACTGAAATGAGCCTGATCACCAGATCTATACTTTGGTTTTCCTCTTTTGAATTTGAGTAATATGGGTAAGGTTTGTTTTGAAAGTGATGACATCGTTATCATTTACCAAGAATGCTGATGTTTATACGTTGTCAGCTGACAGTGCAGAGTTATCTCCCTTAGAGGACGTGATCATCAGTTCAAATCCAGAATCTTCCTGGTTATGGTTCTTCAGCTCCATACACGTGCGCCTGAGTAATGTCTATAAATTCTTTATTCGGACCTCCTCCCCCATGAAGCAGTCTCTACTCCCTCACTCAATCATTACTTCCTGCTAAACAAGCCTGCTGTGTTTTCAGGTTTTTCTAGGTGGACTTCCGATGGTCAGTGTACTGGATCCCGACATTGCCAGAGAGATCCTGATCAGGGATTTCCAGCATTTCACGGACAGAGTAGTAAGTATTTAGTTGTTGGAATCTGAATATATATGTTTTCTATATTTTTATACAAGTCCTTTAGTCTTTTAGGTCCCATTGAATGTCTATGATATGTTTAGATGTGGTCAAACGGTACATTTATCTTGCCTGTTGCATTCAAACACTTGTCAGGAAGTCTATGTGCAAATAACATGTGTTACATGTCTGTTTAAGATATCACTGTTTTAGAGAATGAATGTGTATATTATGTTTGGAAATGTTACAATGAATACGTACAGTATGTTTGAGAATGTTACAGTGATTACATACAGTATGTTTGAGAATGTTACAGCGAATATACTCAGAATGTTTGAAAATGTCAATGTGTACAGTGTATATATGCAGAATGTTTTACAATGTTACAGTGTATATATGCAGAATGTTTGAGAATGTTACAGTGAATATATGCAGAATGTTTGAGAGTGTTATAGTGTATATATTCAGAATGTTTTACAATGTTACAGTGTATATATGCAGAATGTTTGAGAGTGTTATAGTGTATATATGCAGAATGTTTTACAATGTTACAGTGTATATATGCAGAATGTTTGAGAGTGTTACAGTGTATATATGCAGAATGTTTTACAATGTTACAGTGTATATATTCAGAATGTTTTACAATGTTACAGTGTATATATGCAGAATGTTTTACAATGTTACAGTTACAGTATATATGCAGAATGTTTGAGAATGTTACAGTGTATATATGCAGAATGTTTGAGAGTGTTATAGTGTATATATGCAGAATGTTTTACAATGTTACAGTGTATATATGCAGAATGTTTTACAATGTTACAGTGTATATATGCAGAATGTTTGACAATGTTACAGTGTATATATGCAGAATGTTTGAGAGTGTTATAGTGTATATATTCAGAATGTTTTACAATGTTACAGTGTATATATGCAGAATGTTTGAGAGTGTTATAGTGTATATATGCAGACTGTTTTACAATGTTACAGTGTATATATTCAGAATGTTGAGAGTGTTACAGTGTATATATTCAGAATGTTTTACAATGTTACAGTGTATATATGCAGAATGTTTGAGAGTGTTATAGTGTATATATTCAGAATGTTTGAGAGCGTTACAGTGTATATATTCAGAATGTTTGAGAGTGTTACAGTGTATATATTCAGAATGTTTGAGAGTGTTACAGTGTATATATGCAGAATGTTTGATCACCATACAGATATTGGACCTGAGCAACTACCCAGTGAACAAAAGTGTTCTCCTTGAGAAAGGCGCCAACTGGAAACGAATCAGGAATATTATAAGCCCGACATTCAGTGCCTCCAAACTTCGCCTGGTAACATTATTCAGTTTATTTATTCAGTGCATTATTTCAATCGAGAGGCTAGCCTAGTGGTTAAAGCATTCGCTCGTCACGCCGACGATCTGGCTTCGACATGTGTCTCGCCCATTTCTGAGGCCCTTTGGCGTGATATTGCTGGAATAGTGCTAAAACGGCGTAAAACCAAACTTACTCACTCACTCACTCACTATTTTAGTCCAAGAAGAGAAACAATACGCAAGTCGTTCTAACGTACAAGAAACATCAACACAAGGGGTGGGACAAGGAGTCGTTCTAATTGGCCTTTTCGTTCACAGTATTTTCTGTATTTGACTGAGATTCAAACTTTACGTACTTTAGGTCACGTGGCTTCGTTTGTAGTATAAACACATTATCTTACGGAACAAACAATACAACCTCGAGGAGCGATATATACGTACGTATTTGTCAAATGGAATATAATAGCAGCACGGAAAAAAGGTCGCCCAGATCCTCCAGGCTTAGACTTTACTATGTAGAGTTGTGTCCATTTGCATGCCATGATCCTTTGCGATGGAACATGACCAAGTGTAGAGTTAAACAACAGTCAACAGTCAATCTAAGGCCTGCATCACGTTCATGGTGAGCTGAAGAGACTGAACTGATGTAAAGATCGGCGTTAAACGCAACTCACTCACTCATTCATTCACCCAAACACGCACGCACGCACCTGTGTTTTGGTGTTTTTGCAAATATATGCGGAATCAATGACTGGTTTGGTAATTTCCAAGTTTTCTTCCAGATGTGCGACAGAATAAACCAATGCGCCGATAAACTTACAACCAACTTTGTTAAAGCAGCGGAATCGAACGAGAGGATTGATGTCAAAGGGTAAGGCGAACCTGTTTACTTCTCTCACACCTTTTTTATTATTTTCCAATTCGTATACTTCTAAAAAGAAACCTCCCACTCATGTCCAAATGAAACAACAGGATAAAGGACGCAGCATCTGAACCCATATGTTTTTGTGCATAAATCTCAAACCAGACACCAGACTGCCTCACGAAGACTTACCTTCTTTACGACCCGGCTTATGTCAGTGCACATGTCCGTAGTTGACACGATTGTGTCCAGTTTGCAGTCTATCTGTTGAATATCATTTCATCCTGACATCTAAGCATTATATTCAACAACGTAATGTTCCTTTTCAACACCTGTGTAAGAAATTTCCACCTAATCAATTTTTTTTAAATGTTGGCGTTTAGGACGATTTGTCAAATCTGCAGTGATATGTTATAAAGCATATCCAAAGATCCCAATTGTCCTGAAAGTTTATTAGATGACCATTGAAACTCTCGTGAAAACGTGTGAAAATGAACTGTACGCGCGCGCACGCACGCATGCAGGCACGCACGCTTACACACACACACACACACACACACACACACACACACTCTTTCTAAAAAACATCAGTATCCGCCCCTGCATATGTAAAAGGGCATGGTGTCGTAAAATCCTTTATATTGCCTTTTCTTTTGGTAAATTGCTTTTACACAAATATACCATATTTGACTCTGTTGGCTTTTCGGTTTACATGTTGTGTTATATTCGACGTATACCATAACAACTGTATTGTTTTATAAAGAAAGTCCATGTGATGCTCAATGATTAATTATGTGAACTTCATCACAGATACTTTGGTGCATTCACAATGGACGCCATAGCAAGCACAGCGTTTGGGATCGAAGTGGATTCCCAAAGTGACTTCAAAAATGCTTTTGTTGAGGAGGCAAAGAAGTTCTTTGGGCAAGGAATCTTAAACCCTGTTATGATGATTATTAGTAAGTGAGTAGCGTGCTGTGGCTAATTTAGGGATTCCACAGTTGTGGTCGAAGCTCAGGAAATGTGCACATGCTTGATCAAGTACTTACTGAACATACATAGGCAGCATAGTTTGATCACTGGTATATTGAAGGTAAAGTATTTGATCAGTTGTTTTGTTAATGTACACAGACATTGGATCAATTATTTACTGATCGGAGATAGGCAGCAAAGTTTGATCACTGGTATATTGAATGTACTCAGGCCTTTGATAATTTTTTTAGTTGAATGCACAGTGTCAGGTGACGTTTGATAATTTTTTCAAGGACTACACAGTAGTTTGGATCAGTTGTTTAAGAATTGTCGCTAGATACATTAAAGGCTTTCATAGTTTCAGTTTGAAATTGGAAGAGCCTCTCCTGCCATTTAATATCAGTGTTTCTGACGGACGGTCTAAATTTACAGCTAGCCAGCCCGATGGTCTTTTTAAAAATGTTAGATAAAATGTTCCATGCATCTGAGTAAATTCACCATATCTTAAAATCTATTTTTCAAATTGAGCGTTACATTTACTTGACGTTAGTTGTCAATTATTAATCATTCATTATAATAAAAATTGAGTAAATTTCTTTGGATTGTCTGGTCTGGTTAAATCCATGGCTGGCTGGGTGTGGGCTTATTTCATACACTGTTAATATCCACCATTTACTTAAGTCACAACAAGGCTCATCAATACAAGTACAGCAATGTTAAATGCCCAGTTCTACGATATCCCTAACGCTGTGGAGGAAGTGAGCAAAGGATGAACACCATCACATCGTACTATTGGATGTTTCATATTTATGACACATCTTCAGAGACATTATTTTTCATTGTGTTATTTGTTTTTATACTCATAAATTATTACACAGTACACATTGGGGTGTCAAACCAGAACAGGGGTTTGCTATCTGAATAATGAAACATTTGAATCATGTTAAAATAATCGAATTGATACCAGTTACATTGATGATTGAGTACTTTCAAACGTAGTATCGTTGATAGATTACATTTCCTGTTACATGATTGAAGAATGTTAAAATGCTTTCTCGGTGTTTATATACTGAACAATAAAAGAAACGCAACTCTGGCTTTTTGTCAAGTTTTTAAATAGAAGACATAAACATGAACGCTTACTTTTATGAGATTTTATTTTTTCGAAACCTGCGTTTCTTTTGCTGTTCAGTTTATAATATATTCAAAACTACAAAGCGTTTTATGAAGGGCAAAGCACGAAATTGATGAATAAATATGTGAAACATAAATCTCAAATGGAAAGTGTCTCGCCTAGATCTATTGTGTACCAGTTACATTGATGATTCACCACTATCAGGTTTGGTGGCTTTGGTAGCTTGACACATTTATTGTTATTGAATAATTGCTGTTGAATGTGACTTTTATTGTCATTTCCAGTGATTTTCCCCGCACTCACTCCCTTCTTCAGAGCTTTAGGTGTGAGCGGTTTTTCAAAGAGCACTCTAAAGTTCTTCACGAAGGTACTGAATGAAATGATTGAACAACGCAAGACTGATTTAAGGAACGGAAAGGTAAGTACACAAGCGCTGGTGAATTTGGAATTCTCATCGTATCTCGTGTTTCCTCTAAACGTTTAACAGATAGATGAGAATTCCGGAACTTATTTATCGTTGTATACAGTGTTTTCTCTATGCATTGAACTGAAGAGCCCGTGGAGGTGAATAATTGTCCATGTATACATATTCTAACTGTCACGCAAGAGAACTATTAAACGATTGAAAATTTCATTTGCGTTTTAAGAAATTGAATGTGCTTAGAAACACGGAAGGAAATCTCATTCGTTTTATATCTTATGCTTTCTCTCACTGTCTTGTTGGTCGGAATAATTACAGTTTCATACACGTGGTGTGAATGTAAGAGTCACCCTTTCCCTCATTCTGTTGTAGATGAAACGACAAGACTTCTTCCAACTTCTGATGGACGCAGAGGATGATGGGACTGATGAAAACCCCAGTCCGAGTGGATCTCAAAGCAAAAGTTTGTTTCCGTTGTTTTGCTTCTGGTCGTGAAAGTCCTACAGTGCTGAGATGGCTTGTGTATTTTAAAGAAGGGGCAGTCAGAGTGGATCTCAAAGCAAAAGTTTGTTTCCTTTGCTTCTTGTCGTGAAAGTCCTACAGTGCTGAGATGGCTTGTGTATTTTAAAGAAGGGGCAGTCAGAGTGGATCTCAAAGCAAAAGTTTGTTTCCTCTGCTCCTTGTCGTGAAAGTCCTACAGTGCTGAGATGGCTTATGTATTTTAAAGAAAGGACAGTCAGAGTGGATCTCAAAGCAAAAGTTTGTTTCCTTTCCTTCTGGTCGTGAAAGTCCTACAGTGCTGAGATGGCTTTATGAATTTTAAAGAAGGGGCAGTCAGAGTGGATCTCAAAGCAAAACTTTTTTCCTCTGCTCCTTGTCGTGAAAGTCCTACAGTGCTGAGATGGCTTGTATATTTTAAAGAAGGGGCAGTCAGAGTGGATCTCAAAGCAAAAGTTTGTTTCCTTTGCTTCTGGTCGTGAAAGTCCTACAGTGCTGAGATGGCTTGTATATTTTAAAGAAGGGACAGTCAGAGTGGATCTCAAAGCAAAAGTTTGTTTCCTTTGCTCCTTGTCGTGAAAATCCTACAGTCCTGAGATGGCTTGTATATTTTAAAGAAGGGGCAGTCAGAGTGGATCTCAAAGCAAAAGTTTGTTTCCTTTGCTTCCTTGTCGTAGAAAGTCCTACAGTGCTGAGATGGCTTGTATATTTTTGCTCCTTGAAGGGTCAGTCAGAGTGGATCTAAAAGCAAAAGTTTGTTTCCTTTGCTCCTTGTCGTGAAAGTTCCTACAGTGCTGAGATGGCTTGTGTATTTTAAAGAAGGGGCAGTCAGAGTGGATCTCAAAGCAAAAGTTTGTTTCCTTTGCTCCTTGTCGTGAAAGTCCTACAGTGCTGAGATAGCTTGTATATTTTAAAGAAGGGTCAGTCAGAGTGGATCTCAAAGCAAAAGTTTGTTTCCTTTGCTTCTGGTCGTGAAAGTCCTACAGTGCTGAGATGGCTTATGTATTTTAAAGAAGGGGCAGTCAGAGTGGATCTCAAAGCAAAAGTTTGTTTCCTTTGCTTCTGGTCGTGAAAGTCCTACAGTGCTGAGATGGCTTATGTATTTTAAAGAAGGGACAGTCAGAGTGGATCTAAAAGCAAAAGTTTGTTTCCTTTGCTTCCTTGTCGTGAAAAGTCCTACAGTGCTGAGATGGCTTGTGTATTTTAAAGAAGGGGCAGTCAGAGTGAAAAGTGTCCTACAATGCTGTGATGGCTTACGTATTTTAAAGTGAGTTAAGTTTTACGTCGCACTCAGCAATACTCCAGCTATATGGCGGCGGTCTGTAAATAATCCAGTCTGGACCAGAAAACCCAGTAATCAACACTCAACAACATGAGCATCGATGTACCCAATTGGGATACGATGACATGTGTCAACCAAGTCAGCGAGCCTGACCACCCGACCCCGTTAGTCACCTCTTACGACAAGCATGGGTTACTGAAGATCAATTCTAACTCGGATTTTCACGGGTATTTATGTATTTAAAAACAAAGGGCAATCAGAGTGGATCTGAAAGCAAACGTTTGTTTCCGTTGTCGTATTGCTCCTTATCGTGAAACGAATCTCACAATGTGGAGATGGCTGATATATTTTGAAGAAGGGGTCAGTGGAATATGTGTTTATTATGCCGTAAAAACTTAAACGACTTGACTCTCATTTTTCGATACGTACACGTAAAAATCCGGACGGGTCAGTAAATCTCCACAGTCACTGGACAACTGGATAGTGAATTTTCATGGGGTCATTTTGTAAATATATCACTCTCTCCGACTTGTTAAGTTGTAATACACTTTTTAATCATGCAAGATTATGGCCTCAAAAAATGCTCAGTATATTAGCAGCTTAATGATGAAACACGTGTCATGCCGACAATATCTTATTCTCATCTATTGTTGTAATCTTTTGCTTAGTCTGTTCATTCAAATTTCGGGCTAGTGAAATATTTTGTGGGCTGGTAACTTTCAGGCATAGCTAGCCCGATTTTACTAGCAAAATTTGGAAACTATGTCGCACACTGTACGGATCACACTGCTAAGTGTAACTAAACTTACTTTAACTTTACCAAACTGTTGTGGGCTGTTTCTCCAGGGTCCTTTATAATCATGGCCATAGAAAGTACTGGGCCAATGAAGTGAATTTTTTCCAAGAATTTAGACGTAATACATGTTCCCTTCTGTCGCAAACGTTGTACTCTGTGTTGACTATATGCAAAGATAAGCACAACTGCATTCCATGTTTTCTCCATTCCAGAAATGACCAACGACGAAATACTTGGACAGGCTTTGATATTCTTCATTGCTGGATACGAAACTACGGCAAACACCCTCCATTTTGTTGCCTACTCTCTGGCTAGGAACCCGGATGTACAACAGCGGCTCACTGAAGAAGTCGACTCGGTTTTGGGAGACGTACGTAATTTTAAAAACCCCAACATCTTGTTTCTCTTAAGCGTGACACTGACCCACAAAGACACGCCACGCCACTCGACGCCACGCCATGCCACGCCACGCCACGCTACATCACGTCATTTGAAAATCGAAAGATTTTTATCGGCCCTAATCGACATAGTCAGGAAACGAAAATAGATAATGTTTCTGATAGGTATAGATAGATTATCGAGCTAGGTGCTGATAAATAGCTATATATTGAGGAATCTGGGATCGGATATCAGAACAAGGGCATCATATCAACAAAGGGACATAACTCTCCACAGCGAGTTGGAGCACATAGACCAACGTGTCCCGCAAATATGATACGATAAAGTTCTACGAAGAGATCTGAGGACGGACCCTTCAGGAGGTTGCACCAGGCTAATACTAAGCACATTTTGACTGCCCGATGTAAGTGACGACTACCACGCTCAGAAATGTCTGGATATGTAAATGATCCTCAGCATGATAGCGGGGCTCTAATTTGTTACATTCTGGCTACTCTGGGTATATTTGTTTTGAAGAAACGGAAATCACATATTTGTCTGATATCTTTCGACTAATTTAGAGGTCTCGATTCTGGCAGCTGATTTGATAGTTTAACGACCGCGACTTCTAATGCCAGGTTACCCAGACCTTTAGGTTCATATACCGTATGAGAGAGAGTGAGTGAGTGAGTTAGCAATATCCCTGCAATATCACGGCGGGAGACAAAAGAAATGCGCCTCACACATTGTACCCATGTGGGGAATTGAAAACGAGTCTTCGGTGTGAGGAGCGAACACTGTAGCCACTTAGCTACCCCACCGCCCCTCGTATGGCAGTAAAGGATCACGTCTTGATAACTGTCTCCCCGTATAGTGCCATCGACCCGTGAAGATCCGGGGTAAAATAGTTCTTCAGCAACACATGCTTGCCACCAAAGGCGACTATGCTTGTCGTAAGAGGCGACTAACGGGATCGGGTGGTCAGGCTCGCTGACTTGGTTGATACATGTCATCGGTTCCCAATTGCGCAGATCGATGCTGTTGATCACTTGATTGTCTGGTCCAGACTCGATTATTTACAGACCGCCGCCATATAGCTGGAATATTGCTGAGTGCGGCGTAAAACTAAACTCACTCACTCACTATGGTGCCATCAACACAAGACATGAAAACTTCGTGAAATAGGAGCCAAACTCTTGTTTCACTTTATTTTACTCATCCCTTTTTCAGGGAGTTTTTAAAAGCACAAATATCTATATAACCAATGTCCTGGTATAAGACATTTGTCTTTCAGAAAACTCCAGACTATGATAATATTGGCGGCCTGAAATACATGGATCACGTGATCATGGAGACTCTCAGACTGTATCCTGCTGTAACCGCGTAAGAAATTATTTACTAATCTTCTACCATAGCACAGTTTTCATACGGAGTTTTTCAGTGCAGAAATAAACTCGAAAAGATTCTTTGGTAAATAATGCTAGCGTTCTCATTATTGGGTAATAGTGAAACTGAATAGATTGCTTATTAGTGGTCAGTGAGTGAATAGAAATCAAAACCCATACAGATCAAATTAATTATTGCTCCTCTATATGGCCATCTGTTTGCTGTATCAGGCCACACTCAGTGAGTGAGTTGAGTTTTACGACGCACTCAGCAATATTCCAGCTATATGGCGGCGGTCTGTAAATATCGAGTCTGGACCAGACAATCCAGTGATCAACAGCATGAGCATCGACCTGTGCAATTGGGAACCGATGACATGTGTCAATCAAGTCAGCGAGCCTGACCACCCGATCCCGTTAGTTGCCTCTTACTACAAGCATAGGTTATTGAATCGAGCAGGGTTGGGGTAACTTGGACAGTTTACATCGGAAGTCTTTCAGTGATAAAAAATACACGGACTAGCTTTTTTGTTGAAAATAACACCAACGTTTTGACGTTTACGTAATAATGAATAAACTGTTAGTTTGTGCTGAGTAAATGAATAGAAAGATACCCAGCCAGATCAAGGTTCAACGGATGTTCCATGATACTGTAATCTGAGATCATCGGACGGTTAACATCTGAAGTCTTTCCTACATTACGCCCGTAATACACCCCATAATACGCCCCGAGCACATTACTGATGGGCGTTAATCATAGGCGATTACAATGGGCTCAGTTCGAATCCCATGTCGCTCGTACTATGTTTGGAACCAGACCTGTCTGAAACATGCATCACTTCTGGTGAAGTATATATATATTGTAATTATTGGCAATGGATTTGCTTTCAAACCTGGAAAGAATGAAGCTTCAGAATTAAGTGTTTGTCTATCTTGATGTCTTTGAGACATCTTGTGATCGGGGCACAAAGACTCGGACGTCAGCTAATTTTGCAGAAAACAGTTCTGACCACCAAAAGCGGGTATTTCCCTGATATTCAGTTTCAAATGTTGTCTCAAAACGTAGCGACTTATAAGTTACTAATGGATCTTCAGAAACACAGAAAAAGGGGCTTTAGGGTGGCCTAATGGTTAAAGTGTCCGCTCGTCCGGCTGAAGACAGTCGTTATGAAGGTTCCAGAAGCATACCATTATGTTTAACCCCATATGGTGCAAACCAAGAATTATAGATCCTGGTCGAAAGTTGAATTCGAACCCTTGAACATAGGTTACGTACGCGTCGAACAGAGTGGTAGCCTAGTGGTTGAAGCATTCCCTAGTAACGCCGAAGACCCGGGTTCGTTTCCCCACATGGGTACAATGTGTGTAGTCCATTTCTGGTGTCCCCGTCCTGATATTGCTGGAATATTGCTAAAACCATACTCACTACATAAGTTAAAACACAGAAGAAACATAGTAATCACCGTTACATTAGAAGTAATAAGCAGGTCTAACACACAATACACAGGATACAAGGGTGTATGGAACAGGTGTTGGGTCAGTAATACCACAGACTGTCGATGATGCGTCTGTGGACGTTAACATGTGAAAATCTCGTTGATGACAACACTACATATCTTACGTTTCAGAGCAACCCGCGAGACCGTCACCATCAAGGGTTACACATTCCCCAAGGGCTGTGCAGTCGTCGTCCCTGCTTTGGGGATACACAGGGATCCTGACATATACCCTGACCCCCACAGCTTTAAACCTGACAGGTAGGCACCATCACACACACCCCACACGCAATATACCCTGACCCCCACAGCTTTAAGCCTGACAGGTAGGTGCCGTCAGACTCACCCCACAAACAATATACCTTGACAGGCACAGCTTTAAGCCTGACGGGTAGGTACCATCACACACACACCCACGCACAATATCCCCTGACCCCTACAACTACAAGCCTGACAGGCAGGTACCATCACACTCACACACAATATACACACACACAAGCCTGACAGGTAGGTACCATCACACACACACACACACAGTATATACCTTGACCCTCACAGCTTTAAGCCTGACAGGCAGGTACCATCACACTCACCCAACACAATATACCTTGACGCTCCCAGCTTTAAGCCTGACAGGTAGGTACCATCACACACACCACACACACAATATACCTTGACCCTCACAGCTTTAAGCCTGACAGGTAGGTACCATCACACTCACCACACACACAATATACCTTGACCCCCACAGCTTTAAGCCTGACAGGTAGGTACCATCACACACACCACACACACAATATACATTGACACTCACAGCTTTAAGTCTGACAGGTAGGTACCATCACACTCACCCCACACACAATATACCTTGACGCTCCCAGCTTTAAGCCTGACAGGTAGGTATCATCACACTCACCCCACACACAATATACCTTGACGCTCCCAGCTTTAAGTCTGACAGGTAGGTGCCATCACACTCAGCCCACACACAATATACCTTGACACTCACAGCTTTAAGCCTGACAGGTAGGTATCATCACACTCACCCCACACACAATATACCTTGACACTCACAGCTTTAAGCCTGACAGGTAGGTATCATCCCATCACCCCACACACAATATACCTTGACACTCCCAGCTTACGCCTGACAGGTAGGTATCATCACACTCACCCCACACAATATGTTATCTCAAATGAAATGAAAAGTATATCTCGTAAATCTACTGTGTACCAGTTACAATGATGATTCATCACTATGAACATTAGTGGCTTTGAGCCTGACAGGTATATATTATATCACACACACACATGACCTCCACACAGCTCTAATAAAAACTTCATTTAATGAACTTTCTCTGGTATGAGTTTAGCTGATGGTGCGATATTGTTTAATGTAGATGGGACCGGAAGTCTGAAATGGACCCCATGAATTATCTCCCCTTCGGTCATGGTCCACGTCAGTGTTTGGGAATGAGGCTTGCACAGATGGAGATGAAGATGGCCCTGGCTCGAATTCTCAGACAGATTCAATTTGTGCCTGCACATGACACATTGGTGAGCAAAAACGATATGGGCGACTAACCCTAATTTTAAGACCTTGACCATAAACTGTTTGACTTTTCAGACAAAAAACGTGTGAGTATAAGTGTGCATTTGTAAAATACCTAACTATACTCATTTATGTTTCACACAGGTCTCCACTAGCAATCTGCCGTTTTGGTTGGTGTTGGTGGGTTAATGTCGCACTCAGTAATAGTCCAGCTGTATGACCTTAGTTTGTAAATTATCGTGTGTGGACCAGACATGGAATGATTGACCTCGTGGGCATCTATCAACGCAAATGGGACATGTTAAGGTGTGAAGTTTCGCTGTCAAAACGTGGATAACTAGCTGTACCAATTAAGGGTAATTATCAGTCTAAGTAAACTTAGGCTCAGTATTATTCGTTACACTGCTATACTGGAGTCTAACAAAACCTTGTGGAAGGTCGCGTAAGGTAACCTTTGAGCGACCTATGACCGTCCAATCAAACGCGAGACGACAGAACGGATTTAACCAATCAGACAACGGCTACTATTTGTACGGTTCGGCGGGACTTACAAAATGTATTTACTCTTCCCCGGTCGCCAACACTGATCTCACAACAAATGAAAACCCGCATAAAACACAGATATATGACCTGCCTTTGGGTTTCTGTTGACATGATTATCGTTAGCTACTATTTCCGCAAGCTGACATCCTTGAATACTGACAAAACGCTATTTTCAGCGTTTGTTTACTCACGGTTGTGGCGTGCTCCATGTGCATCACTCGGAAGCGATCGTACGGAAAATAGCATTCGGAATCGTTCGGGTAAAAAACGTTTTCGAGGTAAAAGTTCAAAAGGTATGTGCGAATGTCAACTTTCGCGATTTGGTAAGCTGTGTTCTGATTGGTAAATTGAAAAGGTTACCTGACGCGACCTTCTACTAGGTTTTGTTAGACTCAGTATGGCAGTGTAACGAATAATACTGAGCCTAAATTTACTTAGACTGGGGTAATTATGTGAATGCAATCAACCGAGAGAAGTACAGAAGTATAGCTCTATTGTTTCCTATATCCATACCAGTGTTATGAACAAAACGGGCACGAGAAGAGCTGACAAAGATTTACGAGGAAGAAAGAAGGAATATTTTGGATGGGTATGAAGAAGCAACACCTCAAGAGATTGCAGCCCGACTTCAGATATATGAGAGCATCCAAGTGATACTGTTTCAATGGATGGCACTTTTTGTCCTAAACTATTTAATCAAGTATATATCATCCACTCTCATGATAGGTTACATGGTACTGTTCTGTCTCTTTCCCGATAAGACCAGTGCCACGTCCGGTAAGCTCACTGTCACAATTAGGACAACTGGCTAGATCAATTACAGAAGTGTGAAATTTCACTGTCAAAATCGGGACTTAACCATGTACATGCATGAACCAATTCATCGACTCTGACCACCTTATCCCGTAAGCTACCTCTTTACGACAAGCATGGGTTTATATAGACCAAATCTCACCAGTATTATACGGGTGGGTAGTCTACTGAATGTAGGAAAAGGCAAATTCATGGTTCAAAACACAACAGAAAATAGCTGCATGCATTGTCACGAAAACATCTAACTGAACTCGAAGTCTAAAGTCCTCGCATTGGCTACAGCTCAAAGCCAGATCTGCTTTTATCATTTGACAATTTCTCCTGAATTCTCTCTCAGATGGCACCTAATCGTCTATACGGTTGCCAGATCCAGCAAGGCCCTTTTTGGACTCAGAACGGAAACCTCCCCAAGGTTCCAGAATTTCTACTGAGTTTTGTGGAGTCGGCATTGTAGAATCAGCAACCTCAGGCTGTATTGATCAACAATCAATGATTGTTGTTGATGTTGACAGCATACGATGATGGTGATGATGATAATGATGATGATGATAATGATGATGATGATGATGATGATGATGGTGGTGATGGTGATGATGATGATGATGATGATGATGATGATGATGATGATGGTGGTGGTGGTGGTGTTGGTGATGATTGATGATGATGGTGGTGGTGATGATGATGATCATTATGATTTTCTGTCTATTAGGCATCTATCAGAGAAGAGGACGTCGATGTAAACACAGGAATATTCAACACCAAGAAGCCTATCATGCTCAGGGTCCAAGTCCGTTCAGACGAGTAAGATGGCAAAGACCCAGTGTTCTCAGAGCCTGACAGCGCCGACATCCGCATCATCCAGTGTATTACCTCCATTGTGTTACATTAAAACCAGGGACCATTTCACCAACGTGGCTTCGTTTTTAGTGCCAAGCTAAATGGCTACCCAATTAAATGACATTTTTTTAATTCATTGAAACAAGACGCGACCATCTTTTATACATGTTAACACCTGGTTGCAAGCAACTTAATTCCTTCTAGCCGTCTAAATATTGAACAAAACAGTTTTTTTCCAATTCATGTACAACAGCGTTCGGTGTGGGCTAAATGAACTGAAGAGCATGTGTAAGCCCGAATATAGATCTTTGCCAAACTTTGTTCAGAAGAGTGACTTTCATTACGCTCAGGAGCGAGAGACATTCTATGCTAGGCTGGTGGTAAATACATGGTACTGGTGGCATTACTCAAAAGATGTTGTCTCACATTTTTTTATATTTCCGTAGATATTTTGTCATCCGTTTATAATACCTAACAGAGAGAATGTATTCCGTCGGGGATTAACAACCCTTGACTTAACTTGTACACGCGATGTTATAATCCACGTTCAATATCCAGCACATGTATCAGTAAGGCACTGAGTCTGGTATCTGTCTGTGTCTCAAAAGTAGGCCCATACTTGAGAAATGATAATGATACGTCAAATTCGGTTTGGTAGCATGGATTGTATATATATTTCTGTTATTTTCTAAATTTACAGTTTTTCTCTCAATTACTTCGATTATATTATATTTAGTTTATAGTTATCTAAGTATATTAAAATTACCTTTTCTCGTTATTTCAAGTAATTTCTCGAAATTTTGAGTTTGTTTTCAATACTTTGATTTAGCTTTTCAGATTGCGCAGGATTTTGATGATGACTTACGACATGAGACTTCTGGTGTAGAAGTGTATATTCTTTGTTTTAATAAAAAATATTATAAATATTAACATACTTCCCATCTTTTCTTGTCCCATGTGGCCAGTGCAACTGCGTCGCGTTCGTGGAGCGTAAAGATGCACCTAATAAAGGCACACGTGTTCCAATTCCTGGAAGTATGGAATAATTCTGTAACTGTTATCTTTGTAACTGTTTCTCGTCGCCAACGTAACCAGAGTGAGTTTAGTTTTACGCCGCTTTTAGCAATATCACGGCGGGGAAACCTGAAATGTGCTTCTTACATTTTACCCATGTGGGGAATCGAACTCGGGTCTTCGATGTGACGAACGAAAGCTTTAACCACTAGGCTACCCCACCGCCCTCAAACAGCAAGAAAACGGGCAGAGAAGAATGATGAAAATATAACAATGTTTTCACTAATTGTGTGATTTATTTCATGAACTTTCGATCACTTGATGAAAGTCTTTTTAACAATCCAGGTTGAGTCGCTTTGCTTGGGAAACAATATTTTAATAAAATTAATTTTAATTTTAATGTAGACAAAGAAAAGTCAAATTGGCCTGGAGTGGGCATTTCTTGCACACAGGAAAATGCTTTATATGAAAGACAGTCGGACAGATAGACAGACAGTTTATTTACATGTGGCCAAAAGGCCAATAATACACAGCAAAGTGCAACAGCATGTTAGGCACTGACAGTTTATTTGTATATATGGCTAAAGTCAAGTAGTAAAGAGAAAAGTGTGACATGGAAGGCACTGAAAGACAATTTTATTCGCATATGTTCCCAAAAGACCTATAGGACATCACGTATACAACACCATCGCACTGTACAATCACATCGCAGATTCATCAACAATAGGAAAAGGAGGCGTTGGTTTTTTGGATAAATGACAAGAGCTTTGTTCAACAACCTGACTTCAAACATCTGGTCTGAAGGGAGTCCGTACTTTCTATTTCACAAGTGACCGGTGCCAGCTGCAAGATTAAGAATTTTACATAATGCAGAAAAGAGTACCGTCGTTATTTTATGAGCAATGAAATACTTTTGTCAAAATGAAAGATACTATGATTCGAAAGAGCTCCAAACCAGTTTTGAGGGGAACATTTCTTTGAGAGGCGTTTAGAATATGGATCAGTAAGGAAGGCTAACAAGATATGGATGGACAACTTCTTTATTACAATAAAATAATAAAAATAATATTTTATTACAATAAAGAAGTTGTTCATCCATATATCGTTCTCCATCCTTAAGTGGAAAATGTTCAAACATCTACCAGTGAAAAAGCTGGGACTGAATATTCTTAACAATAAAAAGACGTAATATATGAAAAACTTTCGGTTGGTGTTTCTGGTAATCAAATCAATGGAGAAATTAAAATGCTTGCAGATGGTATCGGAATTCAACTCTTTGTTTAACATGGTGATAATCCAGACTCGTGAATAGTTTACGAGTTCAATCGGACCGTCGCTGCGATTTTCAAAGAATTCACTCGCACGTAGATGTGCGAGCTTTGCAGAGAAAGAAATAAGCAAGCTATTCATAAAAGTTTAAACGTATAATACATTAGGCAACAATAAGAGCGGAGTTTTATATCATTTCTCCGATATATCTATTCTAGGGATTTTAACAATAGTTGATGGCCTTGAAGCAAACACAAGCGATTCTAGAGCAGCATCATAGCGCATCCAGGGTCTGAAGGGCGCTGTTGAGGTTTCCCACATCACTTGTCAGGCCGGATTTTGACCTTGAGCATGATTGGTTTCTTGGGGTTCAATATGCCTGTGTGTACAGTGACGTCGTCCATTCCGACGGATGCCTGAAATAACAAACAGTTTAATAGCCTCCCGAACGAATTTAACCAGGAAGATTACAAATACTGACGGAAAAAATCAACGGCTCTTTATGTAAAGTTCAATAATAGTGATATATTTTAAGTGCATGATACATGTGTTTAATAGAAGCAGAGCACAGTGACCGTCAGGGCCAGTAGGTGTTCATGGAAACAAACAAACGAACCCTCTAAACACCAAAACAGACTGAGTTTGGTTTTACGCCGCTTTTAGCAATATTCCAGCAACATCCTCTAAACACCAAAACAAACAATTTTCGTTCACTGTTGTTTCACGTACACATTACATGGGTTACAGAAAAACAATTCTAACCCGGATCTTCACGGGTAAATACTTCTGTCCCTTAAGTGGTAGTCGTATACAAAAGGACCATGTCTGTTTATGTCATGTATTGTAAAGGATTCCGGCATTGCCACAAAGGTCAGCAAGTACGTCCAGTCTTAATGGCTCGACAGGTCATTTTCATGGGATTTAAACTAACCTTTTTCATCTGAACCGACGACACGGAGGAAGCATGGTATCTATCCCTTATAGTGGACTCACCAAGGTGTCCTCCGTTGCCACAAATTGGATCTTTTTGAGAATCCGACCAAGCGCCATCTTCATCTCCACCTGTGCAAGCCTCATTCCCACACACTGACGGGGACCATGACCGAAGGGGAGATAACTCATGGGGTCCATTTCAGACTTCCGTTCCCATCTAAATTGAGAAATAGTGCATTATGAGCTGAACATTTGTAACTACTGTGTTGAACAAGTCTCCTGCACACGAAACCCACGATTCGTCCATTCAAAGAGCAGTAAAAAAGTAAACAAAAGCAATCCTGAAAGGATGAACTATGAACACTTTTTGTGTCCTGTCAGGTCATTATTCCATGACAGACCCGCAAGAGTAGATTATTGAAATTTCTACTCTCCATATCTATATTCTTGAAGGGATAGGAAACGGGAAAAGCGAGTGAGTTTAGTTCTACGCCGCACTCAGCAATATTCCAGCTATATGGCGGCGGCCCGTAAATAATAAAGTCTGGACCAGACAATTCAGTGATCCAGAGCATGAGCATCAATCTATACAATTGGGATACGACTGCATGTGTCAACCAAGTCAGCGAACCGGACCGCCTGATCCCGTTAGTCGCCTCTTACGGCAAGCCAAATGGTGAGTGAGTGAGTGAGTATGAATATCACGGTGATGGACACCAAAATTGGGTTCACGGGGTGATGGTACCTACCTGTCAGGCTTGAAGCTATCGGGGTCAGGGTATATATCACCATCCCTGTGTATCGCGAAGGTAGGGATGTGGACAGCACAGCCCTTGGGGAACGTGAAACCCGTAATGGTAACAGTCTCCGTTACGCTACGTCCTAATCTGTAACATTGGGTATGGAGAGTTGGAGTACTTGCGTTTACTGTGAGGTTAGGGATATCCCACTATTAAGATATGGTGACAGTGAGTGAGTGAGTATAGTTTTACGCCGCTTTTAGAAATATTCCAGCAACATCACGGGACACCAGAAATGGGCTTCACACATTGTACCCATGTAGGGAATCGAAACCGGATCTTCGGCGTGACAAGCCAACGTTTTAACTTCTAGGCTACCCCACCGCCCTATAGTGACAGTGAAGAGAGCGTCTGCTGAAGGTTTTGTTAATTTTTTTTAGTATGATATTAGCCAAACAGGAACTTGTGGCTATGATGTAATAGAGCTATGATATTCTAAGGGATTGTTGGATATACAGAGTTTGCACTAACACGGATTTATACCTTTGACATACCACATACCATCCTCTACAGTCAGGGATATTATTGTGTCAATACCTGTTTATAGCGTTTAGCTTTCAGGTAGAGTACAGAGGGCAAAGAATTCAATGTCAGTGTGTTAAATTTGTGAAGCATGCATGTAACATAATTGGTCCTATCTGATTCTATACACGAACAAGTGAGACTGGTAAGACCTGGATCACATTTGCCTACGTAATCTACGATTTCCCGTACGATGTTTTAGGCATCGTGGGCAACCGCGGGCTACGACGTTTCAGTTAACATTGTCTACGGGGATAGCGCGATTTCTTTGGGGACAGGCGGTGGCGAACCTGCATGGAGGCTGCACAGAGATCGTACGTAAACCGTGCGATTTCCGTATGGTCTCCGCAGTTACTTGCACGGACATCGTACGGAGCCCTGCGGAGGCTGAGCAGAGATCGTACGGTGATCGTGCAGTTGCCGTGCAATTGTTTGGAACTAAAAGATCGTGCGGCTTGTGCGCGATGCCATCTACGGGCTACAGGCTTACGATTTTTCCAAATTTGTCAAATTCGCTGTTTGACAAAATCGTAGAGGCTACGGTACCCGTAGAATCGTGCAATAATCGTACGGCCTCCGCCTGCTGCCGCACGGTGACCGCACGGAAATAGAGCTCCAGGCACAAAACATGTGGAGTGGCATTTCACGTAGGTAACACATCCCCGTGTGTCTCACCCAGATACAACAGGATACAGTCTGAGAGTCTCCATGATCACGTGATCCAAGTATTTCAGGCCGCCAATATTGTCATAGTCTGGGGTTTTCTGAAACACAAATGTCCAATATCAGAACACATGTGAATATTTAAATACTTGTGATGGTTAAAACGTCTTTAGCCCAAGGATTGGTAAAATGTAGCGGTTGGTCCTGAAGTCAGGTACACAAAATGCCATGTCACAAATTCTGTAAGGATTGAGTGAGTTTAGTTTTACGACGCTTTTAGCAATATTTCAGCAATATCACTGCTGCGACACTAGAAATGGGCTTCACACAATGTACCTATGTGGGAAACGGAACCCGGGCCTTCGACGTGACGAGCGAACGCTTTAACCACTAGGCTATCCCACCGGCCCAATTCTATAAGGAAATGGTTGGTGTATTGTAAGTAGCAGGATGCGGGGTCATCCCAGAGATGAGTAAGTGAGTGAGTTTGGTTTTATGTCGCCTTCAGCAATATTTCAGCAATATCAAGACGGGGACACCAGAAATGGGCTTCACATAGTGTACCCATGCGGGGAATCGAACCCGGTCGCTTTAACCATTAGGCTCCCCAACCGTCCCCATCCATAGATGCCATCCTTATCTTTTCAGTGGGTTAGCCTCTTTGGGCATGTAGACAATACAAGCTTCTGACAAGAAGGTCCATTGGTCGGACTCATGGTTGCTACATGAACATCTGGTTGTCTACTGCTATACGATACCAAGGATTTGAGGACACCTGCACTAGAGGTCGCGAAAGGTAAACATTCTCATCAGCTAACAAGCATCGAGACTAATGTTTTAAATGTTTTAGCTGTTTGCAGTTTCTAGCCCGGGGGTGATTTTTGTACCGAGAGAGGCCAAAAGGTTTGAACACATCTTCTGATGTCAAATGGCCTCACGAATCCCCCCAAATCAATCAAATCAAAGCTGTGGCTTTAGCCCACTAGGGGGCGCTGAAGTGAATGACTCAGCATTTGTTTCAGGTAAACTGATGCATCATTCCAAATGACACTTCCCAACTATAAATACTCAGTATTTGACCCACAGTGGTTGCAAAGTGAAGAAGAAAGATCAATGTCTAATTTCACAATATAAAATGTTTAACAGAAAGGTATGTAGAACAATTACATATCGTTTTTCTTCTTAGATTTATGATTTTTTGTCATTCTACACCCTGAAGTTCAGTGTAATGAAACGAAAATGTAATATAATATGGTACTAAAGTCTTATAAATATGTAAAAATGTGCAAGGAATAAAAATATATCAATAAAATTCATATGCCACTAAGTGTTTTATCTAAGAAAGAAAAAGTAAGGGTAATTCTAAAAAATTACTTAAGGGGAGATAAATCCGTAAATAAAGTTTTCAGAAATTGCTTTTCAGCCTACACTACACGTAGTTAGACACATTCTAAAAGTGTAATACATCACCAACAGTACAAAACTGGTCATCAGGCAAGTGAAACACACATGCACACAAACCGTTTGACTTTAGAAGTAGATAGAAGCAACAGAACCCTTTTGACATCAGTAAGAAATCTCTGCTAAAAAAGCAGAGTCGATTGTATAATGGTAACTATATCCTGTAATAGTAGTTGAAGAAGTTAATTCTGATTTGTCACATTCATAATTTTGTATTTCTGTCTGAATGTATTGGACTCCTCATCATTGCCAGTATCAGAGTCAGGGCATCTTCTCACCTTGATCCTCATCTGATTCTTCAGGGTCTGGAAATGTGCTACTCATTTTTCTTGTGACGCATATAGGGGTGGTGTGGTAGGCTAGTGGTCCAAGTATTTGCTCGAAGACCTAAGTTCGATTCCACATACGGGTACAGTGTGTGAAGAACATTGCCGGTGTCCCTCGCCATGATATTGCTGGAATTTCGCTAAATGTGGAGTATAACAAAACCACATTCATACCATCCAAGTTGAAAAATTCCATCCTCCAACTTCAATCCATTTCCTTCTGGTCTGAACTTTAATTGACCATTCTTCCACATACTTGAAACATAATTGGTTCTCTTGACCTTTTGAACTAACGATACTCGACAAGGAAGAATGACAGCAGCATCTGTTACTTTTGATTTGTCTAAAGGACCAAGGCCTGTTGCTGGAACATATCTCTGTTTGAACAAGCTATGGCAAGCATCTTGGACACTGAGCAGGCCTGGTTATGTATACAACGGACACACAAACAGTTCACATCCTGAAGCAGCATGTGAAGGTACCTCCTCGGTGATTCCTAGACATGCACTTGCCAAGTTAGCTGTGCAGATAAGTCATAGGAACTTCAATGATTCAACAATATCTCTGTTTTGGCCTTTTCACATATCAATGGCATACTCTGCCTGAATCGACTATATTTTGGATGGGTCAGGTGGACCTCATAAACTGACAGAGATTGGTGTTCTTTCATGTGGATCCTTGACTGGTCTACATTCGATGTAAAGATTTGCATCCAATACTATCTGTTGCATTTGGAAACTTTACTTCAAGAAATTCTGCTCTGAATACTCTGTTTCTCAAAACGTCATTACAGAATCGGAGACTTTCTGGATCTGCATCAGAAAGGACTCTGATAGAGCTGTTGGAATTAGAGGAGGTTACTGAATTTCTCAAAGTTCATGAATGAGACACGACCTGGAACTCATGGCAAAACAGCCCAATACTGGATGATGTACATGCAATGGTCAATCTGTAACGAAATATACATACTCAGCAGAGCTAGTAGAACAGTGATTTTGCACTGTTCACTTACTGCTCAGGACAATTGTATCCATTGTCATTTCCAGTTAAACAGTCACAATTATGCATGCTGGATGACAAGATAGCTCAATCTCCTGAACACTGACAAGACACATGCTGGTGCAAGACAAATCCTGTGGAATTTCAGTAAATAAACAAACAACCAAGTATTTTGCAAGAGTATGGCTCGGGTATGGCCAGTGTATATGGCCCGGGAACAGACTGTGAATGTAGATGCTGCATCCAGACACATAGACATCATCTCATCCTTCAGTTAGTGAAGGAGTGCAAATCACCATGAATGAAAGGGATCATGAAGATGTTGAGAAACCTGCCACTGCAACTGAAAGTTACCTGAACCCTTTCACAATAGCTCATCTGAACACACATCTGTACTGTATTTCAACGGGAAAACCACCAGCAGAAGATGATGCAGATGATCTTGTTAACTGTGAAAAATGGTGCAAGGAATTTTCAGATTGCTGTTTTATCTGAACAGGTTCAGTTTGATAAACCAATCCCAAGAAGCAGGATTCAGAATTTCGCTGCTGGAGCTCTTAAAGTCAACATTCAGACTAAAGACAGGAAACTGAAGAACTTTAGTGTTCTTATCTGTTTGGCTGACTTTTATACCTTGTCAAATTGATCTCGCTGAAGTATTCCATTTCCTTCTTAAACCTCTTCCACTTCCACTTGGTCAAATGGAGGGTTCAATGAATAAGACACACACGTCCAGACTGACGAGAGTTTTGAATGAAAAGGTAAAAGACATACACTTCCCAGATAACATAGATGTGTGTGTCATTGATGGAATGTCTGTCATCCAGTCTCTTACAAACCTTCCTTCGAGATATGAAGACATTTCCAAATTCATCCGACAGATTCTCTGCAAACATGGAACTTGAGTAGAATTTGTGTGATACTTCTGCAAGTCCATCAATAACGTACATTGATCAAAGAGAGCGTGGACCTACTGCTGAAGGCACGGTAGTCAATGGTCCAGGTCAGAACAGGCCTTCCAACTTACCAAGTGCTATAAATCATCCTTCTTCAGATGTTTGGCAGATGAATGGATAGGTGACACATATATAGTCCGTTTGATTTCATTTGAGACCGATGAATTGCTCACTAACACAAAATATAATAATTGCAACAAAACCAAATTTTGCACAATCACATGAAATCGACACCAACTCTGATGATTTGTCTCATAATTTTGCTCACCCGAATAAAAGTTGTTTAACAAACGATTAGTTTGTTGTCACATACCACTATTTTTTACGAGGGGAACCACTTGCTGGTATATTGTACCCATATAGGGAACTGAACACGGGTCTTCCGTGTGACGAACGAACCTTTTAACCACTAAGCACTATATGTCTAAGTATCTATCTATCTATCTAACTATCTATCTATCTATCTATCTACCTTATGCGTCCCTGGCGTTGTCGTTTGAAGTAAATTGTGATGCTCTCTTCAGGAACTCTTATAAAGAGGAAGTTGAATTCATAAGTAATTTTGTTTCGACTTAACATCTCAGCTAACTTGTGTGCACGTGAGTTGGTCAAGAAAACAATCTTGTTTAAAAATTACACACATCTCCCAAAACCGAATCGATCTCTTCCGTGAGCCGCTTTTGTACATCCGGGTTCTTTGCCAGGAGTAGGCAACAAAATGGAGGGTGTTGGCAGTTGTTTCGTATCCAGCAATGAAGAATAACAAAGCCTGACCTATTATTTCGTCGTTGGTCATTTCTGGAAAGGATACAAATATTGCCTTAGCACAATAGCATATTCGGGGGTGTGTTTAACACAAAGCTCAACATATGTTTTAGAGCTATATGGAATATGTTTAAGGCCATGCTACTGGTTGAACAAGATATGAAATTAGTGGAACACTTTCAAGATGAACATGCTGTTAATATATTACATGATGAGTTTCAGTATATTTGAACAACTTCTATAGTTGTTTAACATAGTCTTTGAAAAACGAATCTAGCTGACTTTTTGTCATTCGAAAAATTATTAACGTAAAACGTATTCGCTAATAACAAAAGAAACAAACTTTTTTTCTGAGATCCACCTTGAGTGTCAGTCCCATCATCCTCTGCGTCCATCAGAAGTTGAAAGAAGTCTTGTCTTTTCATCTGCAACAGAAGCAGGGAAAGTTGATTCTCTTAATAAACTCACACACATCAACACCACATGTCTTAGACATAATAATTACAGTTTCAAAGATTATGAATGAGTGAGTGAGTTTAGTTTTACGCCGCACCCAGCAATATTCCAGCTATATGGCGGCGGTCTGTAAATAATCCAGTCTGGACCAGACAATCCAGTGATCAACAGCATGAGCATCGATCTGCGCAACTGGGAACCGATGACATGTGTCTATCAAATCAGCGAGCCTGACCACCCGATCCCGTTAGTCGCCTCTTACGACAAGCATGGGTTACTGAAGGCCAAATTTCTAACCCGGACATTCACGGGACTCAAAGGTTATGAAAGAAAACAATCTGGTAAAAGGAATTGATAGTTTGGTGGTAGATGCAATTATTTATAATGCAAATGAAAATTTCAATTTGGCCGTTTTGATGAGTACTTCAATGATATAAAGACGTACAAGCTATTGCGAAAAAGGAAATGGGTTATCAAGGTTCCAGTGTGAGTGAGTATGGTTTTAATCCGCTTTTTAGCAATGTTTCAGCAATATCACGGCGGGAACACCAAAAGCTGTTGGCTTCCATTGTTTAGCCTCCATCTTTATTACTTTTGTTGATATTACATGTACATGTATAGGCTCTGTGCCTCATATCATCCACTCACCTGATGAAGGAGTGAGGATATACTCTGAAACGTGTTCCGCATAAGAGAGAAGTAAACATCCATAAAACTATCTTCCTTGAGTGTATCCCTTCTAAATGCCATTCAAAGACTGGAGTTCTTCTGGTTAATGCACACTCGGAAACATCAGATTCCATCCCCATCTCTTAGGTACCTACCTTCCTTCCTTCAAATTAACCTTCCGTTGTTCAATCATTTCATTCAGAACCTTCGTGAAGAACTTAAGAGTGCTCCTTGAAAACGAGCTCACACCTAGGGCTCTGAACAAGGGGTGAGGGCGGGAAACATCACTGGAAATGTAAATTCAAATTTAACAGCAATTATTCAATAACACAATTAAAATGACGAGCTTACAAGGCCACTGGAGTTGCTTGTGGTGAATCATCATTGTAAACGCTATAAAATAGATTTTGGGGATACTTTTATATTTGTTCCCAAATATTTATTCAGCGAATTCCTGTTTTGTTCTTGATATCACACTTTGTATTTTTAGATATTTTGGGGGAAAACACTGCGAAGGTATCTGAGAGAAATTTTCAAAGAATGTGTCGTAAGATATGTCATTACTTAAAATCATTATAGTAGTGAGTGAGTATGGTTTTACGCCGCTTTTAACAATATTCCAGCAATATCGTGGCGAGGAACGCCAAAAGTAGGCATCACACATTGTACCCATGTGGGGAATCGAATCCGGTCTTTAGCATGACGAGCGGAAGTTTTAACCACTAGGATACATCACCCCCAATACATTTGTGAACTGTGGATCTTGGATTTCAAACAGTCCAGACGTACGCTGCCGTTGTACATTCCGTAGATACATGATCAAACGTCCCATATCCTGAGCTACGACTAGACGAAACCACAATTAGCACAACACACTATTCACTTACTAGCAATCACGACGAGAGGGTTTTGGTTTCCTTCCCCAAAGAACTTCTTTGCCTCTTCAACGAAAGCAGTTTTGAAGTCACTTTGGGAATCCACTTCGATCCCAAAAGCTGTGCTTGATATGGCGTCCATTGTGAATGCACCAAAGTAGCTGGAACGGAGTAGATATATTTCATTGTGCTTTCCTTACAACACAAAATACACACCTCGTGACGTCACTACGCCATGGAATCGTAGCAAGCCGGGATCGCTCTCTGATTTTTATTGACAGACGTCAGTGTATGCCAGTTGCGTAGATCGATGCTCATGCTGTTGGTCACTGGATTGTCTGGTCCAGACTCGATCGCTTGCAAGGGATTGGTTGTTTACAAGGCACCCTTCAATAACCGGGAAAGCGCAATGTACCCGGTGTTTTACCACGCTTACAAGGAGGCCGTTTCGATGCATAAGCTCCGGCTGCGTGAATGGATTTATTAAATATAACACAAGGATGGGCGTGGGCTGCGCGCCCTCTGCTAGTAGTTTACTCCCATATATATTTTATACAAACATAGATACATGACTGTTAGAAAAGGTCAAAAGGTCATCCAAACTGATAAATAGTTCCCGATTTTCTGGCGAAATGTTACTTTCATGTGTTTGTTTGTTGTTTAACACATCACTCAGAGATATTCCAGCTACATGACGGCAGTCTGTACATTAGCGAGCAGTGACCAATAGCATGAATATCGATCTACGCAAATGGGATACGATGACGTGTCAACCAAGTCAGCCAGTCTGACCACCATGGTCACACAGAAGGTAAACGTGTTCATGAAGCACTCTGCTGTCAGAGGTTAAGACTGATGACCCCAAATATATGAGAAGTCAGATGTTGTGTCGTTAATGATATTGAACTATTTGGACACGAGTGTTGTTACACTACACCTAGATATGAGAGAGTTGGGTTTCACGCCGGTTTGAGCAATATTCCAGCAATATCACGGCGGGGGCCACCAGAAATGGGCTTCACACGTTGTACCCATGTTGGCAATCGAAAGCCTGAACCGCTAGGCTACCCCACCACCCCGCCTAGATATGACATGATAAATACATGGTTGAGAGAAGTAAAGACTTACCGTTTGACATCAATACTTTGGTTTGATGCTGCCGCCTTAACAAAGTTATTTGTAAGTATACAGGCGCATTGATCTATTCGGTCGCACATCTGAAATACAATTTCAGAAAATACTTGTAAAATATTCGTTTCTCTTCACGTACTGAAACAAAATCGGGAATAAATTCATAACTGAAAGTATTCTTACCAGGCGAAGTTTGGAGCCACTAAATGTTGGCGTTACAATATTCCTGATTCGTTTCCAGTTGGTGCCTTTCTCAAGGAAGAGACTTTGTCCACTGGGTAGTTGTCTAGGGTCAATATTCTGTAAGGTTATCAAACATTCTGTATGTAAAAGTGAGTATGTGATGATTCCATTCACGATGCGTTCTGATGTGATGAATCGAACACGGGTCTACTGCGTGACGAGCGAACGCTTTAACCACTAGGCTAACCCCGCCGCCACAAGAGAGAGAGAGAGAGACAGAGACAGAGAGAGAGAGAGAGAGAGAGGAGAAAAATTACTCATCCGTTCGTTAAATTATTGAAACAGAATTAATGATGATACGTAACTAGAGGGAGAGAGGGAGAGAGAGAGAGAGAGAGAGAGAGAGAGAGAGAGAGAGAGAGAGAGAGAGAGAGAGAGAGAGAGAGAGAGAGAGAGAGAGAGAGAGAGAGAGAGAGAGAGCTCAGATAAGGATATACTGACTGTTCTGTCTGTAAAGTGCTGGAAACCTTTGATCAAGATCTCTTTGCAATTTCCGGTCCGTCACAGTGATCATCGGTAGTCCACCAAGAAAACCCTTTGAAAGGCAACATCACATCGTATGGTGCTTCTTTAGGCTTAATATTGAGTAGGTGAATGAGAAGATTTCAGTATGATCGATCAATATCACCCTAAACAGACAATCTTGACCGTTGCTCTCACCATCGACCACAGGTTTATCTTGACAAGCCTCGATTATTCAAAGGCCTTCGCAATGAAGCTGGCCTATTGAGCGGTTTCAAATAAACAAATAAAACACAATACATACATTATAATACACGAACAAGTGGTGGTACAACTGAAAGAGAACAACACGTCATGGGTGGCTTTATTTCGTCTAAAAATAATGAGCAAGGGAGAGAGTAGAGTTTAAGGCCATTTTGAGCGCTGTCATTATCTCTGTTATTAAGGGCATAGTCGATGCTTGTGTAAATCGATAGCTTGATAGTCTGACTGACTGAGTTTGGATTTTACGCCGCTTTTAGCAATATTCCAGCAACATCACGGCGGGGGACACCAGAAATGGGCTTCAGACATTGTACCATGTGGATATTCGAACCTGGGTCTTCGGCGTGACGAGCCAAAGCTTTAACCACTGGGCTAACCCATCGCCCCAGATTGATAGTCACAAAAGCACAAATACTGGAATAACTAAGCGTAATCCATGGCATTTTCAACAGGGCTGCAATGGTCCCATTCCGTTAGAATATAAACCTAAAGGTGTAACACCGAAAGAGGACATACCCGAATACTTTACCATACTTTTCCCAGTCTTTGTTGTTCGGACCCTGTAACAAGGAGGAGTAAGCTTAGTTTTATGCCGATTTTAGCAATATTCCAGGAATATCACGGTGGGGTACACCAGAAATGGGCTTCACACATTGTACCCATGTGGAGAATCGAACCTGGCCTTCGGCGTGACTGACGAGCGAACGCTTTAACCACTCAGGCTAAACACACAACACAAACAAACAACACACACACACACACACACACACACACACACACACACACACACACACCTCGGGCGAATAATATTCACAACCTTAATTTTGAAGACGGTCTAATCGAGATTAAACTATGATCTCACCTTTAGAACAAACTGATGGAAGTTCCTGATATAAATCACAGGCTCCGGACCAGGAATACCAGCATCCTTGAACAAACGGTTCTTCTTCTTTCCATATCTGAACATAATGTAAGACACATGCAGATAACAAGGTTAGGGATTGCCAAGCCAGCTGCAATATCATACTTCATTTTACGAAAATGATTTGTACTTTTGAAACAAATATCCATCGAATATTAGTAACAAACTTTTTTCATAAGAAGGTAAACGTTAAGAGGTTGTATATTTATAATATTAATTTTAGGTCTTAATTCAGATGAACTTATCTCACAGTGGGTAAATTAGATAAACATTACAACAGAAACTTAAATTACAGATATTAGATCCTTTATGTGTGGGGCCATAAGAAAGGAGTTTAGTCAACTATTTCTTTCTTATTATAAAACAGTCCATGTTTATTTGAAGATATATTTGTACTGACTTCAATATGATTTCCAATAAAGCGTCATACCAAAAGACGTTAAAATATGGTACTTGTTGGTCCCTGCCTGCCGATCGGCATTAATGGGTACATACAACAAAGACTGGTGGGCTCTGGAGTCAATATGTGTCTGAGTGGGGTATTCATGTATAAATGCGACATGGTATCTCAGTGAGCACTAGAAAACCAGCACAGATACACACTCATTCGCGTCGTCATACGGGCACCCAATTGCGCAGATCAATGGTCATGATGTTGATCACTGGATTGTCTGGTACTGACTCGATTATTTACGGACCGCCGCCATATGGCTGGAATATTGCTGACTGCGACGTAAAACTAAACTCACTTATTCATATGAGCGAAATATTCTTAAGGTGCGACGTTAAACCCCATTTCACCTCACCTCACCTCACTTCCAAATAACATCTGAATCAAGAAAAAATAACACAAATCAAGCATTCACAATTCACATCCCTTCACTCCCTTTGGGCTTTAAACTGTGCAGTTTGTCTCCACTTTATTCCCTCACAAACACACCCTCCCCACCACCCTCTACATTTCATTTTACACAATAAACGGGGCATTTTCTTCTAGAATACGATGTCCCATAAATATATTAATGAAAAAGGAAGAAACTGATTCACTAAAGTACATTTATTGACATTGTACCTTTCTCACTTTCACAATTTGAGGCAAAATGCATCCGTGCATTTGATATAACCCTTTGACATTTCTTGACACGCTAACGGCCTTGACCTTGTCAAAACATGCCTGTCTTGCCAATGTGGGGCTGTCTTAGAAGGAATGGTATCCTGTCAATATTCATTAAAGCTCATAAGTGAATCAGTTATCCAATAATTTTACTTACGCATAAATCAGAAACAAAACCGCTATCCACAGAATCCATGTTGGAGAGATATCAACACAGCCGAGTATCTCCATCAGGAAGTGTATCCAGGCAAGTCGTACTTTTCCGAGAAAAACAACAACCCTGAAACAACGAAGAACAGTGTCCTAGTGCTGGTTCCCGATCAACAAAGTGCCGCTAGTGTCGTTCAGTGAACGTTTGGTTGCGCTCTGCAGGCTGATGCCTGATCTGCTGGGTTAAATCAGGAGACTATATAAGGTAGATTATCCCTGGTTAAATGCACCCCTGTGCAATCTGAGCGATAATGGCTCGGCTCGCTCTTAGGGATTGTATCAAAATGGTTTATGGAAATTGTATCAAAACGGTTTAAGTACAGGTTGATCAGTGCTTGATGACCCAGACGCGACTTGACACCAAAGTCCGAGTGATCTAACGTATTTAAACATTGGCAATATCACAAAAATGTTCAGAATTTCTGTAAAATAAAACATTTCTGGTGAAATCAGCGAAACGATGTCTTTACTTCACGTGGACTTTGGTCGGAGGGCCACCCCAAACAGACTACATGTAGTTGTATCATTGTATAAACGCATTCCGGGGATCATAGAGCAGTGCGTGTAGACCTAAACGAGGACTATCAAACCGTAAAGCAAGAACTTGCCGACTGAATCATTTTCTACACGAATTCAGCGGGTTATTGAAGTCTGACAGCAGCCCTTAACCGGATTGTCGGGACATAAAGCACGAAATGGACGTGCATTGTTTGGCGAAGCATTTGATAAAACATGGGGCGAGGTTCAGTTCTGTCGCTGATAAGAGAAATGACAGTCAAACAAGTCAGACAAATTAATACCTTCTACACGAAGTGCTTAACGTGAAAAAGTGGCTGAAATACAACTGAAGTCTATATCATTAGCAGCAGTGTTGATGTTATAGAACAGTCAAAAAATGTTGGATGGTACAGAATCACCCCCAACAAGGTCAATCTTGGATCTTGTATCTTGTGTAAAAGTAAAAGCGTTCGTAACGTTACGACCTGTCGTAACTCTATAGCTTATCACAGGCTTCCAAATGTCGTAGCTCTACAAACGGTTTGTGGATCGAGACTCTGGATATGAAGATAACGGAATATTGATTCTCGAGTTTGAAGCGACAGTCGGTCCGATGTAATTACTATATGTGTATGGGTTCCAAACCTCGCAATACCTTACGTAAGAATGGCAAGATCATCCCGCTTAGTCTGTCTGTTGTGTCTGAGTGTTAAAGGTACAAAGGCAGTGTGGTTGACTGTACTGTCGGAAATGCTAGAAAAATGCTTTTTGACTTAATTTAAAATTCAGAGGTATTACAGTTACTTAAATAACAAATATCACTTTAAGAAACATCTACCTAATGTAGACCGAGAGAATAAATTTTGAGACATGCCCTAAAATGTGTTTTTACTTATGAAAATACCAAAACTTAGAAAAATAACCGGTAGTGGGACGTTATTTGATACAAACATTAACTGCCTGTGTTACGTCATTAGCATGCACGGTATCGACAGGTGAAATTGACACCTGAGCACACGCTCGGGGGAGGGGTCATCTCAATAGATGTTTTCTTCAAAATGTTGAATATGTGTATGTATAGTATACGTATTGGTTATGTAAGGGACCATGTGTGTATGTTTGTTTGTTTTAAAATAAACATACGAATTACAGTACATTGGAAAGAATCCTATCACTTGTGTTATCTTATCGATTGATTGTAGAAATGTGCAACGTTTTAATAGATGTTTTGCATGTCAACGGTATATTTCATTGCAAAATATGGATGTAATTCGGTCAGTTTAATCTAGTTGTGAACATTGGCCAAAGATTTAACGAAGTCACTTGTGTAGCTGCTTTAGAATATATATATTCTTCTTCTCCTAAAGTTTGTTGACCGCCCGTGTAAGTACTCCCTTGTCAAAGTTGTCAAGGATGGTTTTACGTCCCGGTTTCGCTTTTGAGACGGTCCCTGTCTTGTCTGATTTGTTTAAAATATTGTAAACTTGTTGGTAAGACATACCAACAGCTCTACAAGTTCTGAAATAAACCCTTTCTAAACTAATGAAAGGTTTACCTCTGTCTTTTCAAGCACAGTAAAACTTATAAACCTTTGCAACAATCGACTACAAATAGTTGGCCATAGTGGACGCTGTGATAAAGATGTGCATGCATGACGGGAAACTTATTTATCAAGACTTAACATTTATATTAATATTTCTTCAATAAAGAAACGATAATTAAGTAAAGTAACACAAAAATTCAACATTTATGTGTTAAAGAAAACGTTGATTCATATTTTTTTACACCACCTGTATTATTAGCATAAATGTAAAGACTATTTTAGATTTCTGTTGTTGAACTCTGAAAAAATCCTTAGTTGTTGTTTTGGTACCATATTCTCTCCTGTAAACTGCCCTTTAAATGCATGGGAATGTTAAATCAATTGAAATAAAAAAATTAGGTACACTAAAGGCGAGTTGATATATTGACAACATAGTACATTTATCACCTTTATCAAAGTTTTAAGGCTAAAATGCAGTTTTCTAGCATTTCCCACAGTACTTTAAGTACACTATAAAGAGTTACAATTCACACCAGTACGGCTGGTCAACTGTACTAATGCTGTCCTATTTTTCAGGCTTCTACAGTAATCGCTCTTCTACAGTAACTGCCCAACGTGTGCAACTCCTTGTAGATCTGGGTTAGATTTGGTCTTAAGCAACCCATGCTTGTCATAAGAGGCGATTAATGGGATCGGGTGGTCTGGCTCGTTGATGTGGTTGACATCGATTCTCATTATGTTGATCTCGGGAGTGTCTGGTCGAGACTCGATTATTTACAGACCGCCACCACCACGATAACACCAGCCTACACGTTGTTTGAGCTGTACAGTAGTATCTTAATCGGAACAATGTCAAGCGTTTCCCTGACCCGTAAGATCCCTCATTTGTTCCCCACCTACCACCCCATACTTCACCACACACTAAATACGTCTGGGGTGAAATGGAGCGACGCTTACGACGTCATCCGAATACTCAACAACGCTACAAGATTTCAGCCAAATCCTTCCACGGATATGGAATGATCTTCCCCAGGATGTTCATGGACGTTAAGTGGCTTCAATGAGGCTCTCAGTGAAAAGGTTGGAAACAGTCGCTACTGACCGTGTGAACTCCCTCTTGTGTAGTGGCGCTTGTTCATAAGCCAGATGGGCCTTGGGGTTGCCACGTGGTCACAGCGTTCGCTCGGGATGCCGAAGGCCCGGGTTCGAATCTTCACGTGGGTACAATGGGAAACTAATATTTGGTGTCTCCCGCCGTGATATTGCTGGAGTATTGCTAAATGCGTCGTGAAACTAAATTCACTCACTCATATACCAGATGCGCTGTTCTTATGGACTGTTGATCGTTACCGTACCTTGAATCATTTGTCTTTCCTTGTAATATCATTTAATTCGCGGCACTGAAAGGTTAACATTAATTCTGTTTGTTGTTTGTGTGTCACAAAAACTTTGGAAATTGAGTATATAAACACATTTGACACCTCTACAGATCCTTCTCAATTTTGTTTAATGATAGGGTTTGTCATTGGCTCAATGTTCTGATATTTAAGGTCATTAAATATGAAGTAGTTTTCTGGTTACTAAATGAAATTTATCATAACTAGACGAATACATAATAAAATATTTTCAATAAATGGTTGTGTGCGAGGGTGAAGGCCGCTACTGAGCAGTTCTAGCCGGGTAAGTGAAGCGCCAGGGCAAGAAACCAGGCTGAACCCTTTAGCCCACTGCACAGCTTAAATACAAGTAAAACGTTCTGTCACGATCAGGTAAGCAATAGTTGCTCGGATAACATGGGTTTGTTTGGGTTTTTTTACACAATCCAGACAAAACCTTTGGTGTCTAATCGCTTATAGCATCAAGTACTTGTCTCACCTATACTTAAAACCTTTTGATACAATTATCCCAAGGACCTTGCAAACCATATTATCGCTCAGATTACACTCGGTACATTTTACCAGGGAGAATAGAAGACGTGGATAATCCCTGATTTAACCCAGCAGGTCAGGTGTATCCACCAACAGGCGCAGCGGCACTGCTGCAGTTTTGGGTTCGTGAATCATCACTCTCAGGCCTGTCACCTCGGGGTTGTTTAAGTAGCCGATTGGTTTTCTTGGATACTTTTCCTGATAGAGATACTCGGATGTGTTGACATCTCTCCAACATGGATTCTGTGGATATCGGTTTTGTTTCTGATTTATGAGTAAATAAAATTATTGGATCACTTATATACTAATGAGATTTACTGACAAATGTTCTGGGCTGGGGTAGTCATGGGCCGGGGTAGTCTCTGGTTTTGAAAAGGAATTAGGAAATGGTAACTTTACAGTTCATGATTTGGATGAAACACCCCAGTTTGAAGTCGTGTTGCATCTTATACATATTGGTATAGCTATACGTACATTGTGTGCATGTACGCAACATGTATTTAACATGCGTAGAGTGAGTTGGGTTTTACGCCGCTTTTTAGCAATATTCCAGCAGTATATGGTCTCTGTTTAATAGAAAGGGATATGTGTTCATCTACGCTAGTGCACAATACCTACGCATGCTCTATTCATGTGTTTGTAATAAGCCTAGGGCCTGTCACAACAAATATAAGGACTGATAATATGATACAGGCTATTTTTGCCCAAGAGATCTGCAAAATGATACTCACTGAAACATACATAGAAGATGGGAACTTTGTCATCCCTTAACGTGACCCACACCATGTTACTGATGGGACGTCTTAATACATGGGGAGTATTGCTGACTGCGGCGACACACACCATTCACTCACTCGACAAGGGGCGGTCGGGTGCGTAGCTTAGTGGGTACAGCGTTTGGTCGTCACGCCGAAGTCCCGGGTTCAGTTTTCCAATGGGTACAATGCGTGAAGCCCACATCTTATGTCACCCGCCGTGATATTACTGGAATGTTGATAAAAGCGGCGTAAAACCATTCTCACTCTCTCACCTACTCACCTGACACTGTGGGGTGGCAAGGATATTCACGTCGAGATCAATTTTCAAAGCTCTTATATTAGCAACGTGACCCGTGTGTTTGTGTGTGTGTGCCATCGGAGGCATGTGTCAGTGGCTACGCGTGCTACTCCGGTTAAGTTTAAGTTGGTTTCGATCAATCCATATGCTTGTCATGAGAGGCGACTAACGTTTTGAGACACTCCCCTTTTCGCTATCTTGCGAGCGAATCTCCCAGGGAAGAGCAAACGGGACCAACCAAACTCTGTCTTGAGCGCGGAACCCGAATTTTATCTGACATGACATTGGATGCACGTCACTGAGTGGATCCCAATAACGTCAGTTTATGATTCGTGAATCACCAAGAGCAGACTGAACTCGGTGTTGTTTTGGAAGCCCATTGTTTTCCTGGAGACACTTCCTGATGGAGATACTCGGCTGTGTTGACATCTCTCAACATGGATTCTGTGGATATCGGTTTTGTTCCTGATTTATGTGTAAGTAAAATTATTGGATAACTGATCCACTAATAAGATTTGTTGACTATTGTCAGGGTAACACACCGTCGTAAAAAACAAGACAGAAAATAGAGGGACGACCTGCACTGCCGTATATAATGTCAGAAGGTGAAGGCCGTTTTGCTGCATTCAGATTTTAGAAAGGGGCATTTCATAAGCACCTACTTAAGTTTTCTTCAAACTGTTGACGTTACTTTTAGATTTGTTTGATTGTTGTTTAACGCCGCACACATATTTATTCCAGCTATACGACGGTGGTCTGTAAATAATTGTGCCTGGACCAGACAATCTAGTGAACAATATCATGCGTGTCGATCTACGCAATGGGATACGATGTCATGTGTCAACCAAGTCAGTGAGCCTGACCACCCAATTCCGTTTCTCGCTTCTTACGAAAACCATGGGGTTGATGCCACTTCTAATCCGGATCTCTTTTATGTTCAGATATGGAAAGAAGAGGAACCGTTTGTTCAAGGATACTGGTATTCCTGGTCCGGAGCCTGTGATTTATATTGGGAACTTCCATCAAATGATTCAGCACGTGAGCTCAAGTTTAATCTCAAACATACCTTCTTAGAAAAGAACAATAAGGTTCGTCGTTCACTTTGACTTAAAACCCCTAGATTGCATCAAAAGTAAAACTCTCTCGGATATATAAGTATGATATTCCTATTCTGAATATGTTAGAGAACATGAATAAATTTGTATGCTGAGTCATCAACACAAAATTATCCCCAAAACATCCGTGACATCAAACTACTTTTGTTCGGGATGTAATATGTGATACATGTCTCGACAAAATACAATACAGGCCATTTTGACATTTTCACCTGTATGTTGATGATTGTCAATGTTTTCATTTGAAACATACATATCAAAGATGGCATCTTGTTACAGGGTCGGGGACGGTGGGATAGCCTAGTGGTTAAAGCGTTCGCTCGTCACGCTGAAGACCCGGGTTCGATTCCCCACATGGGTACAATGTGTGAAGCCCATATTCTGGTGTCCCCGCCGAGATATTGCTGGAATAATGTTAAAAGCGGCTTAAAAGCATACTCACTCCTTTGTTACAGGGTCTGGACTTTGACAACAAGCACTTCAAACAGTATGGTAAAGTATACGGGTATGTAGATCCGTCGGGCTTATCTCCCCTTTGTTTATATCATACATAAACGGGAGTATGACAGAGACTTTGAGAATGTCATATGTTCCAAGTAACCACCATTTGTGCATGCATGATTGTTATTCTTAATTTGTCTGTTTGGTTCTCTCTCTTAACACTCGGCAATACTCCAGCCATATGGCGGCGGCCGGATTTAATCCAGTCGGGGTGGGGGCAGCCTAGAGGTTAAAGCGTTCGCTCGTCACTCTGAAGATCCGGGTTCGATTCCCCATATGGGTACAATGTGTGAAGCCCATTTCTGGTGTTCCCTGCTGGAATATCACTAAAAGCGACGTATTACCACACTCACTGTCATTGTAATCCAGTCTGGACCAGACAATCTGGTGATCGATATTATGAAGAACTTTCCAATTCCTCGAGGTATTCATCATCATCATATCCATATTACGTATGAAACCCACAGACCCATATACATATACAATTTTATTCTGCATATGTTCACAAAGGCCTATAGGACATCACGTATACAACACCATCGCACTGTACAATCACATCGCACATTCATCAACAATAAGAAAAGGCAGCGGGTTTGGTTTTTATAAATAACAAGAGCTTTGTTCAACAACCTGACTTCAAACATCTGGTCTGAAGGGAGTCCGTACTTTCTATTTCACAAGTGATCGGTGTCAGCTGCAAGATTAAGAATTTTACATGATGCAGGAAAGAGTACCCCTCGTTATTTTATGAGCAATGAAATACTTTTGTCAAAACGAAAGATGCTAGTACTATGATTCGAAAGAGCTCCAAACCAGATTTGAGGGGAACATTTCTTTGAGAGGCATTAAGAAGATGGATCAGTAAAGAAGGCTAACAATAAAGAAGTTGTTCGTCCATATATCGATCTCCTTCCTTGAGTGGAAAATGTTCAAACATCTACCAGTGAAAAAGCTTGGACTGAATATTCTTAACATTAAAAAACGATATATATGGAAAACTTTTGTTGGTGTTTCTGATAATCAAATCAATGGAGAAATCAAAATACTAGCAGATGGTATCGAAAATTCAACTCCTTGTTCGCATTCAACAAAACTAAATCTTCCGATTATTCTTGTATTTGTTCCGCATTCAACAAAATAAGACGACTTTTGTCTCCTTTGATTTCATTGTAATGGGTTTTTTCATTCTCATATTTGAGGGCCTTTTTGCCAATCAAACAATCAAGATGATGACCAACACAACTTCAGTTGCGCAGCAGGAAGAGCAGTGAGTGCGTGAGAATAGTTTTACGCCGCTCTTAGCAACATTCCACGGCGGGCTTCACCATTGGGCTTCACACATTTTACCCAAGTGAGGAGTCGAACCTGGGTCTTCAGCATGACGAGCGAACGCATTAACCACTAGGCTTCCCCACATGAAGAGTAAGGTCATGGTGACGCATCCTTGCGGAACACCTCTGTTCACTTTGAACAATCTGAAACCTCTTGGTCTGAAAACTAGTAATCTATACAAACAAATATTTAATTGATCTTTAGTCGCTCCGTCGCTGCGATTTTCAAAGAATTCACTCGCACGTAGATTAATTTTATCAAAATATTGTTTCCCCAAGCAAAGCGACTCCTTAACCTGAATTGTTTGA